AAACCTTAGTTTACCCTAACGATGAATGAAAAGGGAAAACTCTTATTTCTATTCTCTATTCCAAACATTGGAGATGTAAATGAGTAGTATAGTTATTATAAGGGAATAAATGGCAAAGAAAAAGTAATTTTAAGAAAATATGAGGGATTTTACAATTCCATAGATTAAAATTAGGGTTTCGATTAAAATGTGAGAGATTTAAAAAAACCTATTAGTCACAAGTAAAACTAGGGTTTTGCAGCTACAGGACGTAGGGTTCTAGTTTTAAACAAAAATGTTTTAAAAACTAAAAATAACTAAAGAACCGTAATATTCGCCTTATCTGAGACTAAACACTTAGAACATACATTCTAAAAATTGTAAACAGAATCGAGGTATCCAATCAATCACGGATAACACTGACAGGAAAAAACACGACGCAGGAAAGTGAAATGTCAAAACTGTCCACACATCTCTATCTAATAGACAATGACAAGAGCATTCCGCAATAAATCAGATCAGCATCCTGTAACTTCTATGTGGAACTCTGAATAAAAAGAACAGATAAAACTTATTTACCTGAAGATCTTTGAAAATAAAACCTATATCTATACCAACGTATGACTGCCCCCACATCATCCAGCAAGGGCAAAAAACCCCCAAAAGGGGCGACTCGCGGAACGGCTTGCCAATCTCTCGCAGGACTCAGTACTAATCTCTAATTTAAACTCAATAATAACCAATCAACTACTAAATATCGAAGAGATAAAGGAAGGCAAATTCCTTTATAAATGTTCAAGTCTTACATCATAATCTACACCAAAATAGTTTACATTTCCGAATGCAACAGTACCAAAGGAAACCAAGGCCATAGCTTTCATGTACTGGAAAGTATCAATGAAACGTGCAATGTGAAGTGCCATTATGCACCCTTGTAGTATTACTGTTCCGACGACCTGTGCAGTCTTCCTTCTGAAAGTGTCTAGCTCCAAAAGCAAAGTTTAAAAAAAAGAAAAAAAATTGCTGCTCGGTACACAGCACTATAAATCAACTTGTCATGCCGTTCCAGTTGGCCACGCAAAAGCACACTGCCAAGTGTAGCCAATTAATATCATGAGTTCAACAGGCAGTGGAGCCTAATCTATGGTTTCGTTGCTTGATTTAGACGAATTCTTGGGTCCTTTTAGGGAAGGCATGGTTCTTGGTAGCTAATGAGAATCGGTCAATATAAAGCGACGGAATCATCGATAAGAAAGGGGGGGAGAAACTAATAACATAGGAAATTATGGGAATCCAAGATCTGTGAATAATTAAAAAAATTTTCCTATCTCTAAGCTCCGGTCAGTATTGGCATCCACTTCCTCCCACTCGTTGATACGGCATATATAACGAATGCAGCTAGCAGGTTTTCCAGCAAGTTTGAAGAAAAAACAATGATCAAGGACGAAAATAAAGGCCTGCAGTACGGTAAAACCAAAATTTAATTCGAAAAAATAATTAACCTATAGTTAATCAAGTGCAGTTATCAATAAGTTCATGAAAATGAAGTAGAATAGCGTGAAAAGGAAATAAGTCCTGCAATCCAGGAACTAAATAATCAATTCACAAACCATCTTTTTAATTAATTTGAGGAAAAAGAGAAGAAATTAAAACTCCCAAAATATATATTTTATTATTTTAATTTTTACTTCCACAAAATAATCTAAAATGTCAGCATTATTTTATTCAGGGAAGAATTTGCAATGAAATGCCTATAAATACAACCTTGCTCTAATTGGAATCATGTGATACAAGAGAGCGATAGCTCCAATTGGAGGGGGAATCAGTTTGGCCATACGCTCAGGGATTGCCAAAACTGGAGCGCCCATACGATCACCTTCACAGACCGCCAAGGGGGGGGGGGGGGGGAAAGAGTGTTAAAAGAAGTAATTATTCACCGGCATGTTAGGAGGACAAAATAGCCAACAATTTTCGTTTAAAATAATAATAATAATAGCAACAATAAAAGATGGAGAGAGCAGAAAATGTTAGTAGTAGTTACCAGAAGAAAAGACGGTAGAGAAAATGCGCTGATCAAAAGGGCAAGAAGCGAGGTCCCAGATCTCATTTGGGTGTGAAAACAAACCCTCGCAAATCAATTCATTACCATCCGAAGAAAGCCTAATGAGATGCACCTACGAGAGCAGGGCATCACAATTTTTGAAACTGCGTCTCCAGTAAGAAAATACATTTGGAATGAAAAGCAATTAGGAGTAGTTTCTCCAACCTCATTTTCTTCTTTGAGACTGAGAGTGGCAGCGAGGAAGGAGGTGTGGTCGGTGTCTGCTTTGACGTCGGAAATGCATCTCGCCTGCGAATTTTGCCAATTTATGTTTTTACCAAACACAAGAGAACACAACAAATTAATACTCACTAGTAAAATAAGATAGAAGACAAGGAAGATGGAGGAAGAGGAAGAAAAGGAAGAAGAAGAAGAAGAAGAAGGAAGAATGGGGTATTAAAAAGGGGAGGGGATGACCACCTGATATTTGAGACCATAGCCGATTCCCGTCGATCCTCCCTGCATTGCTTTTCCCGATCGATCCACCTATAGATAACAGCTCTTTGGCTTTTTAGATCCGATCTGCCTTTCCCTCTTTCACTTTCAGGGGCCTCCTCCTAGTCCCAGTCCTTCCTGCCTCCAACTCGAACCGCGGCAAATAATTTCAATGAGGAAAGCACCCTTCACTGGCCTCCTTTTTTATTTTTTCAACTGGAATAATGTAGCAGTAGTATAGACTACTATTCCCTATATCGTACTGTACTATTATTAAATTGATTTACTGCACTGTTATCCGGTCACAGAGGGCTAAAACTTAAAAAAGGGGGAAAAGGTACCAGCTGCTAAATCCAACCTCTGAGTGATGCGGTGGATTGCAATTGTGCATGCGTCCAACTGATCGCATCAACTACTCAATACCAACAAATTTACTATGATATAAAACTACTCTATCAATTAATTCAATCAAAGTCAAAATATGAAAATTTACTGTCCGAGAGCTCAAACACATACAAGGCTTTCGTTTCTTATTACCGTACCCGATGAATCAATGCTCGAGCAATTGTAATACGTACGAGAAAATCTCTCATCTTGTGAATTTCTAAAGATTTTTTTGTCACAGAGGTTTGTTTGGATTGTGTTTTATTTGGAATATTTTTACTGTAACACTTTTTGTGATGTGATGTGTATGAGATAAAAAGGTAATTGGAAAGATAAAAAGGTGTATTGGAAATTGTAATGATGATGTAAGTAGATAAAATTGGGGAAATAAAACACAATCCAAACAAACCCATTAATAATAATTAATTGTGGGATGCCCACTCCTGCAATATCATCCGCTCCGCTTGCAAGTCTCCCGTCAAATTTGGCGTCACGTCTGTAGCGTTTTTCTGAGGGGATGGATGAAGACACGCAAGGACGACAATTCGATTCAGTAATAAGTTTTCCTTTTTAAGGCAACTTATTTTGTCTTGTTACAAAAAATAAAATAAAATAAAATTGCTTGACCATGCAATGCATTGAGGAGAAACCATTGATTTCAATTAAAACTTGCCCAACATTCATCATTTAGGCGAGATGAGCAAGAGACCTCTAAGAAATTCATAAACAGATTAGCCAGCCTGCCTCTATCTCCCGGCACCTGCTTCGTTTGATAATGGGTTTAGGTCAACTCACAGCCCAAGCCCTTTCGTGAAAAACGACCATTATGCATGAATAAATATGATGAAGAAAGAAATAGCTTTCCCTCAGAAATTAAGTAAACCAAAAACACAAAAGTATGTTTGGTAAAACAGACAGACTGGCCACACTGGCTTTAGTGGGAGGAGGGGGGGTCTTTATTCCTTAGTAGCAGCTAAGCTGCATAGGCTAGTCAAGTTCCACATCGATGTCTGAGGGGATTTGGAGTTAAGATATTAGTCTCCTCAGGAACCACACCACATAAGTTATCGGCTTTTGTGAAGGAAATGATTCACCAAGGTCCCGCAACTTGATGGATGGATCATGGATACCAGACTTGTTGATTCATGGATATGTTGATTTACCGAAGAATACAGCAGCAGAGTTGAGAAGGGTAAAATCGCTGAATTCAATCACTAGAGTTTCACTCCTCAAGTTGGTTGCGTAGCACTTCTATGTCGCAATTCCACATAACCACAAGAAGAATGATAATTAATATATATGATCCCTCAAATTTTAATCTACACTTGCCTACTTTTGATGCACATTACTAGTGAATCAGTACAAATTAAGGCTTCCAGATCCAAGGATCCATCCAGAAGGGAAAAATGAACCCCCCAAAAATAAAAAATGAAAAAAAAAAAAGGCAAATTCAATTCTCTTGGTACGTCTAATTATGCCTCCGGGCCCCTTGCCGTGCTAATTGCAGAAGAGAGCACGACGACATTCATAAACATCTTTGCGATGAAATTTTCATCGTCGTTTGCTTCCTAATATACTTTGCAGCATGCTCATCTCCGCGTATAAGATTCAACCACTCGCCTACTTGTCAGTAGCAAGTTACCCAGCCACTTTCATTCCTTGACCGCATGATTTGCGTCAACCGGACTTGTCTAGTTCCAATCTATCCTAAAATATGTTTACCTGCATTCACGCAGTCCTAACTCTGCCTTTGTTCATACAATTAGTTAAAAGCCCCAAGTTTCTTGTGAAAGCAATGCCACCCATTCCAAGCCCCGAGTACGATTTTCATCTCCCACGGAGCCCTTACAGGTTGAAACTCGATTAACCATAATGATGCAATCAGCTTTACTGGTGAAATCTTGCTCCATCTCACTCCATCAAAAGGGCCATAATATACATCAAATCATCTGCATAGTTCACGCAGATGGGCCTAGAGCTGCACCTTTGTCGAAGCCATTGTAGAAAGACTGAAAAGAGTGTCAGACAATAGATTAGCCAAAGAAAAGAACTTCTCCAGGAAGGTCAAAGATTTCATTCAATCGGAAAGCAACTCATCCAGCTCAGGGTTGTCCAAGAGAGACGCCTCATAATCTGAAGCCGTCCCATTTAGCAAAATATTTGTAGGAAGGTCATCTGGATCTTCATCACCATCACCATCAGAAACTTCCGGTTCATCATCCATATTTTCATCATCAGCTGCAGTATCAACATCTTCCTTTCTTACACCATTTTCCTTGCCAAATTTTCTTGAAAGTGAATCCACCTTTGCTTTTGCATCTGAATCTTCACATATACAGGAAGCGGGGTTTTCATGAAATTCACCCCTTCCTGGTCTCACCTCTTTGGGCTCCCCAATGAAACCTCGCTGAAACTTGCGAACTTTTGATTCAAATTCTTCCCAAGTCATGTTGTCTCGGTCCAAGAACAGCCTATACAATTTCTTGGCATTTGGCCGAATGGTAGGTTTATGTCCAAAATACCTCCTACAATAACAATAAAATAACATAAAATAAAGATTACCAACATTTAGATGCTATCAAGACTCTAGAGTTTTTTCATAGAACAGTAGAGGCTAGATACCTTCGTCCCGCTAAAATTTTTGCCATGTTACCATTATTATTGGTAACAAATACATCACTTTCATCACAAACAATGAAATCTAATGCAGCCATGCGAGAAGAAAATGCAGAAAATGATTCCAACTCTTCCTTGCTAGCAAGA